GGTGTGCGCAGAGAGTGAAGCAGTTCGGGCCGCTGATGGCGGAGAGGTTCGCGAGGTGCATCTTTCCTCACCCTCGCTCGCTCTTCGACGTCGAGGAGCCCACGCAAACGGTTCACTGGCACGAGAGGCCCGAGACGGGGCTATTGACGGGGTTGCTCTTCCTGGACGGGTCGGCCAAATACATGGGCCTCGATGGGCTCACTCGGGCTGGTTGGAGTATCGTGTCGGTCGACAGGTTTGGGGAGTTGATCTCGGCGGCCTACGGTCCAGTTCCTCTGAGTGCGGCCCCGCAGCAAACTAGTAAAGATGGGGAAGACTATGCTGTATATATGCTTACGCAAGTAGGTCTTCCCCCGTTTCAATGCTATATTGATTGCCAGAGCACTCTGGATTCGCTGGCTCGGGGCCCTGGGTTCGCGGAGGGCCCTGGAGCCCCCCGTGGTCATCTGTGGGGCCCCGTGTGGAGCTCGTTCACTCTCAGCGATTTCGAGTGTTACAAGACGCTCGGCCACGCCACTGCGGCCGATGTCGAGGCTGGCAGGAGCAGTGTTTGGGAAAGACGGGCCAATGGGCTCGCAGATAAGTTCGCCAAACTAGGAGCTGAGTGTCACGGGGTCAGCGACGAAGAGGCCAGCCTGTACAGAGGCCTCAGGTGCCTCGCCCGCGAGGCCTGCAGGTGGGCTGGATCGGTCGAGGTGCTGATGTCCAACGGGCCCCGTGACTCAACGGGCCTTGTGCCCAGGTCGACAGGCAGCGATGGCCAGTGGCAGCACTCACAAGACGATGATGCCCACGGCCAGGCCCTGGCCGACGATCAAAGGGAGGTGGGAGGTTCTTCGGACTTGGGGGAGGAGTGGCGTTCTTTCTCTCGGCAAGTTTTTCGGGCCAACGGTCATGCTTTTTTGGCCAGCCCTGTCTTGGAACCTCCTGGAAACCCCAGGGGTAGGATCCAGTTTTGTTGTCGGTGTGGATCATTTTTCTCTGGGGCTCCCAATGCTGGAGCTAAAGGCCTGTGCAGGCCCAAATCGACGACGGGCGGAATTAATGACCAGCTGAGAAGGATTCGGCAGGGCAAGTTTCCCTCGTACAAGAAGGACCTGAAGAATTTGACTCTGGGGGCTCACGTGAGCCTTAGCCTCGCCGAGCGGAGGGTCTTGGCTCAGTCGCTGGAAGAGGATGGCCAGGCCCCCCAGGGAGTTTCAGGTCCCGCAACTGTCGGCTCCGCGGAGGGCTTCGCCCCGCGAGAGCAGGTTTTGGATTCGTTCGGCCTTGCTGAGTCGGATTTACCCTGGGTCAAGGACCTAGGCGCCGCCTCCCTCCGAGCCTCGAACTGCGGTTTCGAGTCAGACTCGGAGGCCTCCGATTTTGGCTGAACGTGGAGGTAATCTGGCTTTAGGCCCGTCCCCCAACCTCCTCCTCCTCCCTCCTCCTCCTCCTCCTCCTCCTCCTCCTCCTCCTCCTCCTCCTCCTCCTCCTCCTCCTCCCTCCCCACCACCGCCACCATCACCATACTCATCACCATCATTATCACCACCACCACCACCATCGTCATCACCACCACCATCATCATCTCACCATCATCATCACCATCCTCATCACTACCACCATCATCATCATCATCATCATCATCATCATCATCATCATCATCATCATCATCATCAGCATCATCATCATCATCATTATCATCATCATCATCATCATCATCACCATCATCATCACCATCAGCATCATCATCATCATCAGCATCATCAACATCATCACCATCGTCATCATCATCATCGTCATCATCATCACCATCATCATCATCATCATCATCATCGTCATCATCATCATCAGCATCATCATCATCAACATCATCATCATCGTCATCATCATCATCATCAGCATCAGCATCAGCATCATCATCATCATCATCATCATCATCAGCAGCATCATTTCCTCTCCCTGAGAAGATGCCCCATCCTCCGCCTTCGCTCCTGCACCTCGCCAGGCTCGGGACAACCGCAGAAGGGCACGCGACGCGGTGCGCGACCACGCCTCGCCCCTCGCCCGGTGCTGCCGCCCCTGCTGCCGCCGGGGCTGCTGCTGCTTCCCCCGGGTTCCTCCTCCGCCGTTCGCCTCCTCCCGCCCCCGATCATCCGCGAGGTTGGCGCAAATAGGCCAGGCCCAAGGGCAGCCAGTCGCCGGAAGCATCTGCTGCGGAGGGAACGGGACGGGGGATGATGGCACGAAAGGTTCAGGGTGAGGAGGAGGAGGAGGAGGAAAAATGACGCCTTCCGCACTGGGGGGCGACACACCTACGATACGCCAACGCAAATGCAGCATCCAAAACCGTGGAACACACATATTGGAATTGATCGCGTACCCCATTCACCAAAGCGCGTCCCAACGACACTGTTCCACTCTTCCGCCTCTCCGCCCGCGCTCGCAGCGCGCCCGCCGGGCCCGAGCGCGAGAGGCCGGTCAGGATGAGTTTCCTGAGAAGGGTTAGGTCGGGCCTCTCCCCCTACAGGGGGATTTTGGACGAAAAATGAAACATACCCCCACAAGTGCCCCCAAATGGTCAAAACAAATAATCAAAAATCGTCCCCAGACTATTTTTGTTGACTGTTGTTGGATATTCCCCCTGTAGAGGGACAGGCCCGACTTCAGAGAAAGGGCGCCAGGGCGCCGGGGAAAGGGGGACCTCCAAGACCGCGACGCTGCAGCCGAGGCCTTGCAGGGCGAGCGAGGGCGTCCTGCGACGGCCTTGCGGGCCAAGCCGAGCGGACCCGAAGCCTCGGCGCCCCCTGGCTCGAGAGCCCCCTTGCCCTGGGGCCCCGGGCGGGAGCCACCCGATCGCCCGGGCAGCCTCGGCGCCCAGCCGCCCGCCGCCGCCTCCGCCCGCCCTCGCAGCGCGCCCGCCTGGCCCGAGCGCGCTGAGAGGCCGGCCGTGCTGCGCTGCCTGAAGTACACTCCAGATTTCGTAAATAAAGGGAGGGGGGTCTCATTTCGGGGGGGGGTCTCTTCCAGGCTATCTTGGAGGGCCTGGGGGGTCTGGGGACGATGTTTTGGAGGGTTCTCCCACGGGGGAGGTCTGAAATGGCTTGTCTTGGAGGGTCCAGACCCCCTCCCTTTTATTACGAAATCTGGGAGAGGGAACAAAAGTGGGCGAACACACAGTGGCCGGGATCCGCGCGGATTTTTCGGGGGGGCCTGGGGCCTTATCCCGCGCCCCCCGCGCGGCGGTGCGCGCGTGGGCGCCGTCCAGCGCCGTCCGCAAAATCCGCTGGCCTCCGCTTTTGCGCGCTGCCACTTTTTGTTCTTTATGAGAACCTATGCCGGCCGCCGGCAGCGCCCTGGCCTCGGCGGGCGGCCCCGGCGCGGGGGCGCGTCGCGGCGCGGCCCGCTGCCGGGCTGCGCGCGCGCCGGCAGCGGGCCCGCGGCGCCGCCGGCAGGAGCGCGCCCGCGCGCCGAGCGCTGGCCTCCGCGGCCGCCTCCGCGGCCACGCGGGCGCTGGCGGAGGCGCTGCGCGGGAGTCCCGGGAGTGGTCTTCTGGCACGGCTCGCAGTGGAGTCCCGGGGAGGGCCTTCTGGCACGATGTGGGGCTGCCAGGGCGCAACAGTCAGACGTCCGAGGAGTGGTCTTCTCAGAAGACCACTCCTGGGAGCAACACGCACACACACCACCAACAACAACAGCAATGACATACAAGAGTAACAGCAGCAACAACAAAAAGGCGGCCCGCGCGCGGCCCTCGCGACGCCAGAATGCGTGGCCAAGTGGTCCAAAGACCGAAACAGCGCAAACGAGCGCAAATGCTCAAATCAATGCCAAGTCTGGCACGGCTGAGAGTGGTCCAGGCGCAACAGTCACGTGGGTCCGCAGAGGAGTCCCAGGGAGGGCCTTCTGGCGGGACGTGGGGCTGCCAGGGCGCAACAGTCAGACGTCCCAGGAGTGGTCTTCTGGCACGGCTGAGGATGGTCCAGGCGCAGCAGTCACGTGGGTCCGCAGTGGAGTCCCAGGGAGGGCCTTCTGGCACGATGTAGGGCTGCCAGGGCGCAACAGTCACGCGGACCCGCGGCGCTGGCGTCCCAGGCGCGGTGTTTTTGGCACGGCTGAGGATAATCGGACGGTTGTCTTCTACTGGGCCACTTCCCGCAATGCAAATCAATTCTTGTAGAGACCTGTGAAGAAGGAACTTGGAGGGAGGGTTGAATACAACTTCGTTGATGCGTCTTGGGTCTACACTGGTCCTCCTCCTCCTCGGCCTCCTCATCCTACTCCTGCCTGCCCAATTTCGGCACACCACTCACGCGCTTCGTTTCGGCACACCACTTACACATGTCGTGTCCCACGGGGAGGTCCTTCGTTGTGTAGTTTTGGGAGACGCGGACAACCGAAGATCAACATGCCATCAGTCTACTCTTGGTGCAACGCCAGGGCTCCAACATAGGCAGGTATCCTGCAGCTCGAAGCACAACATGAAAAGGCACATCCTGCGACGCAGGGGGGGTGTCAACACTCGTGTGATCATTGTGGTTCTGTTGCGGTGCGGGAAGGAAAATTCGCCACGGTACCCAATTGCTGCTAGATGCTCTATGTGTGGTGCACGTTTTCGCGCGCTGTGCACAGGAATGCGCTGCACATGCAAGGGAAACGATGCATCTCAGTCGATGTACATCTTAGACTCATTTCTCAGCATCTCAGCTGCACATCTATCGCAATCATATGCTCAATTTCATGGTTCAGAGCGCCGCGAGTGGTAGAAAGAAGGGAAACGACCTATCATCCTCCTCCCCCCAAACCTTTACAAAACAATAAAACAAGACAAGAAACAACTGCTCCTACCCCCCTCCAATCTCCCTCCCCCCCCCTCCTCCACCCCTACCTCCCCTGCCCATATTCCCCCTTCCCCCACCTCTCACCTTTCCTCCTCGTCCACCTCCTCCACATCCCCCTCCTCTCAGGAGTTGTGTGCAGCCTGATCCTCCGACGCGCTGAAAGGCAGCCGTACCAGATCACGATGTGGCCAAGGTCAGCTCAAACGACGAGCAGTGGGGAAGGAGGCCAGCAGCAGCGGCACCGTCCGCCCCAGCCTGCACCACTGGAAACATGCGCAGGGGGCCCTCGTACAGGCTCTGGTCGATGCCTCCCCAGAGCAGCGCGCTCGGCTTCGTGCTGTCCACGTTCAGGTAGAAGGCAAACCTGACGTGGCCCCCAATTCCACGCTCCTGGCTCCTTCCCTCCATCCCTGCCTCCCCTCTCCGTCATTCACCCCATCCCTGGTTCCCTCCTCTCTCCCCTGTTTGTTCGCAAATCCTGGCAAGAACACGCCCGCGAGCCCGCGGCGTCTGTGTGAGCGGGAACGTCTCGCCAGCGCGAGCGCGGACACCGTGAACAAACAGAAATCGCCCGTATGCGCAAGCACCGACAAATCATGTCTGGATGGATTGCTGGATGGACTGCTCCTGGACTCCTGGATCAAATCAGGGGCCACCGATGTCGAGAGCGCATCGCACGCAGGCAGCGAAGACTGATTTATCACTACTGCCCATCCCCCCTGGCAGAACGAACCAGAAACAAAGGCTCTGCGAACCGTTACAGGCGGCACTCCATGTGGCCAATTCCTGACACCCTGGATCCAAAAATGTTGTCACTCTTTGGTTGGGGAAGCGAAGAGGCACCGATACCGTACCGCTACTCCCTGGACCACTCCCAGGGTGCGATCTGACCAGAATCTCGAGGAGAATCCAGCGGTGGCGACCAGGGCCTCCCAGGAGGCCCAAGAGGGGGATAACGAGTGGAGGGAAGCAGCATCTGGGAACCTTTTGAAGCCGAAGCTAGAACGAGGATCAATTAGGGTGAGGATAGATCGAGCATCTCTGCGATCCGGCGGCTCTGGAGGATGTCTCGGGCGCCGCGGCCATTTCAGAGCGCCCTGAAATACTCTGAGAGCATTCCGGAACGCTCTGGACGGATTTATCCTCGTCCTGGCCTCGCCCGAATTTTCCTCCTCTGACTGGAGGCGCAAATCTTACTTCCGCCAGCTTCCGTCGGGGATCTCCGGACCCGGGTCAATTTAGACCCGGGTCAGTCAGGCCTGCAAAATCCTACAAGATCCTGTACCCAAACCCGGGTCAATGCGAAGGATCCTGCAAGATCCTGCAGGATCCTGCACCCAAACCCGGGTCAGTGCACCCCTGGCTCTGCAGGATCCTGCAAGAGCTGGCGCCCTGGCTGACCTCCGTTTGCATTGACCCCCGTCTGAAGGCTCCCGATTCCGTCTGGTGAGCCGCCCTCGCTTCACGGCCGCCGGCCTCTGCAGCCCTTCCGCCGCCGTCCACCGCAGAAGAGGCAAGCAACTTCTCGAAACCCAGAAGGTGAGGCCCTTCTCTTGAGGTGCCAGGTGTCCACCACTGCTGCAGCAGGTAGGGTTCGGGAGAAGGGAGGACTGGGAGGTCCTCTTCCCTCTCCTCCTCCTCCTCCTCCTCCTCCTCCTCCTCCTCCTCCTCCTCCTCCTTCTCCCCCATCCCCTCCTCCTCCTCCTCCTCCTCCTCCTGCTCCTCCTCCTCCTGCTCCTGCCTCCTCCTCCTCCTCCTCCTCCTCCTCCTCCTCCACTCCGCTCCTCCTCTCCTCCTCCTCCTCCTCCTCCTCCTCCTCCTCCCTGCTCCTCCTCCTCCTCCTCCTGCTCCTCCTCCTCCTGCTCCTCCTCCTCCTCCTCTCCTCCTCCTCCTCCTCCTCCTCCTCCTCCTCCTCCTCCTCCTCCTCCTCATCATCATCATCATCATCATCATCATCATCATCATAATCCTCCTTTTCCCACTCCTCCTCCTCCTCCTCCTGCTCCTCCTCATCTCTCCCTCCTCCTCCTCCTCCTCCTCCTCCTCCTCCTCCTTCTCCCATTCCTCCTCCTCCTCCTCTCCTCCTCCTCCTCCTCCTCCCCCTCCCCTTCTCCTCCTGCTCCTCCTCCTCCTCCTGCTCCCTCCTCCTCCTCCTCCTCGCCTCCTCCTCCTCCTCCTCCACATCATCATAATCCTCCTTTTCCCACTCCTCCTCCTCCTCCTCCTCCTCCTCCTCCTCCTCATCCTTCTGCTCCTCCTCCTCCTCCTCCTCCACATTATCAGAATCCTCCTTCTCCCACTCCTCCTCCTCTTCCTCCTCATCCTCCTCCTCCTCCATATCATCATAATCCTCCTCCTCCCCCTCTCCTATCTGTGTTAGTGGTGCTGGAAGATCGGCCCATCCTGTCCGGAACGCCCCGCAGGCTGGCACAGCGGCGAGGTCTGGAGGCTCCGCGGGGCAACGCTTCGAGCGGAATGTGGGACTCATCGGGGACCGATCGAGGTCTGCTCGCACGCGCAGCCTCGTAGGCGTTCGCTCCCTCTTGCCCTGCGTAGCAGTACAATCGGACTTCATTGGACAGGACACGCGAGAGGACACAAGACCCTTCCGATGGCCACATTGCCGTAGGAATGCAGGAGGCACGGGTCGCGAGGCACAGGACAGAAAGTTAACCTTGATTTGGCAGGGTCGACCTACTAATCCGGGCCGACTGTAGGCACATGTGAACAAAAGACATCGTACTGTAAGAAAGCATGGGGCGCATTCTTCGCCGATGGCTGAGGCCCTAAGGTGCTCTGGAGCGTCTGTGGGTCCCAAGGTTCATCGGGGGGATAAGAAATTTCCGTGGGGCACCTGCTGGCACAGCGATTTTTCTATCTCGTGCTGTGTGAAAGTACTGTCTGATCTGGAGCACCGAGACTCAGGAATCCACCTGGAGCTCCTGGTGATGCAGAAGTTGATGTGAAGCGCGTAGGCGTGCCTGTGTCTGCCTCCTCGCACTACTCAATTATCAGCGATACTCAGTTCAACGCTGCGTCATCAGTCGCATTCTCGCGAAGCGCCTGCACAGCAACATTACAATCGTGCCACATCCTCTGGTCGCGTGCCGGACTTTTGGGTGGCGCAGCCAAAGATTCTGGCGGTCGCCCGCCTGACCCGTTCTTGGCATCCTCCAGGGCCCACGCGACACCTCGTCATAGTTGCGCCATTGGACCTCCGTGCAGAATGGATTCCATCCCACAAGTGAATAAATTCATGTCTACATATGCATGCATGTGTATCCCGACTTCTTCTCAAGTGTTGGCCTTAGACTCGGGGGTTGGACGCGACCAACCATTCGTTCACACTTCGGCCATGCGCACATGTTCCATTTTCGATATGTATATATATATATATATCCAACCAAATTCCTCTAAATGATGTGATGTCGGTAAGGTGTACGTTGTTCCGCTACCTGCTGGTGGTCCACGTGGGCTGTACCACAACCGCGATACACTACATGTTTCTCCTAATCCTCGTCCTCACCCCCTTCTAACTATAATCATACAAGGGCGGCGCGAATACACCACACACAACACAGACCTTGAACATATCATGCAGCATGAGAAATACACATTGCGCTTCCTATTACGCTCTGGCGTCAGCGTGCTACTCCTTTTCCTGTTCCCCCAGGTAACCTCCTCTCTCATCTGTCGTAGCATCCATACTTGCCTCTACCTTTGCCTCCCCAAGAAAAACATCGGCCGCGCGGGAACTCGTTGTGCTCGAGCAGCTTCTGCTGGATGACCCGCTCGAAAAACGGCTCAATCCCGCCGAAGGACAGTGACTGCACGGCGAGGGGTATCCACATTTTGCCGCCCAGAAGCGCTACCATAACTAACCCCCTCCGCTGTACAACCCATCCGGCCACTCCCTTGACATGTCCCATTCACCCAGAAACGCTCCGTCTATTTTCACGCAAACCAGCAGCTCCCCAAACAAACACCTGTTAACAGGAACCTGGTCTTCGCTGAGTCGCTTCTGGCTCCATGATTGCGGCCACGTGTACGCAGCGTGGCTCTGCCAATCGGCCGCCCTGCTCAGACTCTCGCACTTCCTTGAGGTGCAAGCGCACGCAAGCCACCTAAGACTCTGCGTACTCCAGATTTCGTAATAAAAGGGAGGGGGCCTGGACCCTCCAAGACAAGCCATTTCAGACCTCCCCCGTGGGAGAACCCTCCAAAACGTCGTCCCCAGACCCCCCAGGCCCTCCAAGATAGCCTGGAAGAGACCCCCCCCCGAAATGAGACCCCTCTCCCTTTATTACGAAATCTGGAGTAACAACACTCGTGCTCGCTTCTGAGTGCGCGGCGAAGCGGGAGCTCCAATTATGTTGAAAACGTCGGTGGGCGTCTGTTTAATTTGCAAAAATATACTTCGTTCCGTTTTGGGGTCGACTTGCTCAGTGTTGGGATTCTCGTTCGCGCCACTTTCGGTCCGGTTCCGTTTGGTATTGGGCTGCCGCTTTGTTCCCGTATTTGGGTGGCCGAAAACCGAAAAGTTGCAGACGGACAGACGGAAACAAGCAACACCCCCAACATGTGTATCATCAACTGCGGCCGGGAGTGGCATCAGTCTGGGCGGCACGCTGGGATCGGTGCACGAAGCAGTTCCACCTAGAAACGACCATCGCGCGCGCGACAAATGCTGCAACTCGGCACGGCGTGCAACCCAGCCGGTGACACACTCCCAGAACAGGTCCGGAGCAGGCACATGCGCGACGGGGATATAAGTAGCACCCCGCAGTTGCGGATAAGAATGACGGGGCGGGTCGCGGGTGGGTCGCGGAGTGGGTTGCGAAGTTGGTCGCGTTGTGGGTCGCGGGCGAGCACGACGACAACGCAACAACAACGACAACAACACCACAATAAGCAGACTCTTCTTGACGGAACGCCACTTAGAAGCGCAGGCCGAGGGCTTCAACGCAGTCGGGCTTCACTGGACAGGACACTTTTAGTCAGCGGCCGCGGTCGAGCGCGCCGGCGGCGTGTCAGGTCAAAGCGGGCTACGCAGAGACTAATTAGGCAAAGGACACGCGGGAAAAACAAACAGAGCGACGCGCGAGGCGACAACAAAGCGCGACTGGACAGGACACGCGAAAGGACACAAGGCGGAAGCTGGAGCTGTCGAAGTCCGCGACGTCCTGCCGCAAGCGGAGGCCCTTCTCTGTCCACGACGGGCCCCGCATGTGGCACTTGCGGGATATAGTCAGCAACAGCTCCGGCATCTTGCGCCCTGCGCCGCTGATCTTCGTGCGTACCAGCGCGGCCGTCAGACCGCCATCCACGAAGGCGAGGCGCCGTGGTGAGAGCCAGCAGTGGCCGTCGTAGCGCAGACCGCCCCGACCTAGACGAGGCTGGCGGGCTTTTTTGCAATCCCAAGATTTTTGAGGGTCGGGGGCGAGGTCGGGGTGGTGTGGTGTATACTTGTTCCCCGTTTTCCCTGGAAACAATAAAAAAAATGTATTCACCAGGATCCCGTATACATCAGGACCCGCTTTCCTGTGCGAGTTCCAGTGTGGGGCAGGAAAGAGCGTCGGTGTATAGAGTTCGGCTCCTTAAGAAGACCCTTCCGAGGGCCACACTGCTGTAGGAATGCAGGCATCACGGGTCGCGAGGCACAGGACACAAGGGTACCCTTGATTAGGCAGGGTCGACCTACTAATCCGGGCTGGCTGTAGAGGTCTCCTGGATGGGCGGTTTCAGGAACCCTGAACCCAAAAACGTTTTCATCTCTTGGGGGCGCGTCTTAAACTTCCGCCGCCTTCCGCCGGCGGAGGCGGCCTCGTTTTACTTCTGCCCACCTCCCGCCGCCTTCCGCGGCGGAAGAGATGACAACTCTTTTTGGAACGTCTCAAATGGGCATGTATTGGAACGCCTCAAATGGGACATTCTTGGAACGCCTCAAATGGGGTCGGAGTAGATGGGGTCGGAGGGTCGCGCTACACCGCATCTGTTTGCGCCGAATACTGCCACCTCAGCAGACGCGGATACGAGTTAGAGGATGATTGTCTCGAAGAGGAACAGCCAAGACGCATCCCGCCGATAGCGTTTCAGATTATTGGGGCTTTTAAGCTGGAGTTTTCAAGCGTCTAAGGGCTTCCTTCCTGGAGCTTTTAAGAGTATTGGCCTGCTGGATGGGGTCGGAGTAGATGGGGTCGGAGGATTGCGCCGCATCGCCGATGTATCGGCGACGTCGACGTAAAGCAAATCGGGCCCCACATCGAGCCACATGGGCGGTGCATCTGCGATGCGGCGCGATCCTCCGACCCCATCTACTCCGAGTCCATATATGAGGCCTAGATTAAAACATCTCCAGGAAGAAAGCCCTTAGTGTAAGCACTGCGTGTGGAAAAAAACGATTTCGCCGAATTGTGTATTAGCTGGTCATTTTCGAAGCGAACGTCCTCTCACTCCTATCCGCGACTGCTGAGGTGACGGTGTTGGCCGCAACCAGTTGCGGTGAAACAACGGTCGCCATCTAGGGCTCGGGCATCGCCCAGGCTTCCACGGCCCAGTGGATGGCCCAGGTACGCTGGGAAACACATGAGCTGGTCCAGCACGCCGAGGGAGGAAAGGAAGAAGCAGAGGGGGCGTGGAGACCGCTCGGAGGGCTTGCATCGTCGTCGTCGTTGTCGTCGTTGTTGTCGTCGTCATCGTCGTCGTCGTCGCTGTCGCCGTCGCCGTCGCCGTCGTCGTTGCCGTCGCCGTCGCCGTCGCCGTCGCCGTCGCCGTCGCCGTCGCCGCCGCCGCCGCCGTCGCCGTTGCCGGCGCCGTTGTCGCCGTCGTCGTCGTCGTCGTCGTCGTCGTCGTCGTCGTCGTCGTCGTCGTCGTCGTCGTCGTCGTCGTCGTCGTTGTCGTCCCCCTTCAGGGTCGGCGGCACTGGCCGTAAGGCCTTCGCGATACAAAACGAGTGCGGCTTCACAAGCGGTCGCGCCAACGGAAGGATAGGTGAACCCCACCGAGGTGCGTTAGATGCTCTCTGTGGGGACCTTCCTGTAGCCACTCGCTCCACTCGTGCGTCGATGCTGCGCCGATGCTACGTCGAACTTGAGTCGAGCTTGAGTCGACCTTAAGTCGAGGCAGAAACGAACTAGGCTCGATCTGGAGTCAAACCGATCCGTTGGGTGGCCCCCAGGAGGGTCCCCCAAACGAGCATCTACATCCCCCTCGAAATCAGACGCAAGTCCTTCCCGCGACGTGGCGGCGCCCCAGGACCTCCAAGTGTCCATGCTCGCGCCGAAATTGGCGGCTGCAAATCAACACAAAACTCGGACCTCGTGGGCCGCGTTTCGCGCGTCGACCACCATGAACAACTTGCGTTTGATTGCGAGGGGAGTTAAAAAGCGAGCGCACGAAGGAAGCGGGCGCCCCGGAGGAAAGCGGTCCTCTGAGCCTCCTTCGCCGCTCCTGGGCCCCCCGGGGCCCTCCCAGAACGTCCCAGGGCCCTCCCAAGATGCCCCCCGCTCCTCCTCCTCCTCCTCCTCCTCCTCCTCCTCCTCCTCCTCCTCCTCCTCCTCCTCCTGCTCCACGTCCTCCTCCTATCCTCCTCCTCTTCCTCCTCCTCCTCCTCCTCCTCCTCCTCCTCCTCCTCCTCCTCCTCCTCCTATCTCCTCCTCCTCCTCCTCCTCCTCCTCCTCCTCCTCCTCCTCCTCCTCGTCCTCCTGGGCCCAGGACGCCTCCAGGCGAGAGCTGGCCCTGCGGAGAGCTCCGAGGCCTATAGTGGAGGCCAGTCCACAAGAAACCTTCCACAAGAAGCCCAACCCTGAGACCCCAGGAGGCCCGATGATTTTTGGTGTGGAAAACGTTGCGCTTTCCATCGAAAAACCATCGAAAACAGAGAAACCCAGGGCAACCTGGAGGCAAGCATGGTGTTCCTTGGCATGGGCCTCCACTGTGGGACACGTTTCCCTCAGGACCCGTGTTCGGGTTGAGCGTTTTCAGATTCGGCGTTTCGACATTGGGCGGAGGGGGGGGGCGGGTCTGGCTCCAGACCTCTGCTTCGTGCGACTGTTTACAACAGTGCATCCTATGGGGGAGACTCCACCTGCTTGAAACAGGCGCCAAACACAGCCAAGATCCACTCCATGGGAGGGGGGGAGACGGTGCGAGGGCCCGCGCCGATCGGCAAAACAATGACTAAGACAACGATCACCTGTCTTTCATGGCGACGGAAGGGGAGGTGGGCGGCCAGGTAGTCTCTCACGCGAGCGAGCAGCAGGAGCTCGGCGAGCGGCGGCAGGGTGGGACGGCGGCGGGAGCCTTGAACGCGAGGCCCAGGATGCCCTCGAAGGGGAACGCGGCGAAGACCTGATGGCGCTCTCCGCTGCTCGCCGTGCCCCTCCTCCTGCTGCTCCCCGCCCTGCTCATTGGCTCCCCTCCTCCTCCTCAACGCCGATTCGAGAAATCCGCGCGGACCTCCTGGATTTTACGTTTATTTCACTTGTTGTTCCCCTATTGGAGGCCTGGAAATTGGCACCAACACCAAGACAGGGGGTTGCCTCCACAGGGGGACGACGATGCTAGACTTCGGTGTCGGTGGTAATAATTCGGCCACCTTGAAGCCAGAGTCTTACCACCATCACCGAGACCGGGATCTTCTTCCCTCGGTGGAGGCATGCCGCCGATATTGGTGTTGGTGTCAAACTCGAGGCCTGCGAGGGCAGGCACACCTCTGGCAACCGCCGAGGAGTGCGGGAGGGCAGGGGAAGGGAGGGAGGAAGCGATCTCAGCTGTCGCCGCCCTGTCTTCGCAGCGTTTTTTTTTCCGGCGCTGGGCGTGGCGAGACGAAGGACTCCCGACGCAGGTCATACACGTACTCCTCGATGCTTTGTTCCTTCTCTCTCTCTCTCTGGGTTTCTCTTTCGCTGTTTTGTCTCTTTACCCCTCTGCTTCCTCTCTGCCTCTCTCTCTCTCTCTCTCTCTCTCTCTCTCTCCCCCTCCTCTCTCACAATCGCTCGCGCACTTCCAAGGCCGCCCCAGGAAACACATGGGCGTTCCTTTCACGCCTGCGGAGCAAAGGCGTGCCCGTTACTCCAGATTTCGTAATAAAAGGGAGGGGGTCTGGACCCTCCAAGACAAGCCATTTCTGACCTCCCCCGTGGGAGAACCCTGCCAAACCTCGTCCCCAGACCCCCCAGGCCCTCCGAGATGGCCTGGAAGAGACCCCCCCCCGAAATGAGACCCCCCTCCCTTTATTTACGAAATCTGGAGTACGTAACCACTGCCTGGGAAACCGACGTCGTGAGATCCCATGGCGAGCGGGGGGCCAGAATATCTGCATATCCTAGACCTGCCAAGGTGAACGAAGGTCGATCCCCCAGGCAGTGGTCATTTTGATCTTTTCCATGGGAGCCTGCGTCGTGGTCCTCGGCGCTGTCCGACTTGAGCCTGCTTTTGGTTGGATTTGGAAAGTGTTTGGGACCAGATTTGGACCAAATTCGGAACCAATTCGCCCCTTCACGAATCGGTCGAGAAGAACGAGTACATGCCGAGAGCAACGCTGCCGCGGCCTCTCCGTTCATCTCCCGGATCATGGCGAACGGCTGCTGCTTCACCCTCAGGGGGCCGACCCTGGAGGAGCGCTTTTTGCTGCTGCACGAGGCCGCAGGGCCGCCGCGAGCCACGAGGCATCGCGCCGCGGGCGGCGGCGCGAGGGAGTCGGGCAGGAGGAGGAGGAGGAGCAGGAGGAGGAGGAGGAGGAGGAGGAGGAGGAGGAGGGAGGAGGAGGAGGAGGAGGAGGAGGAGGAGGTGGGGCCGAGAAGGCTCGACTGGGGCGCGGATCAACTTGGCCACCTGGGCTAGAGGAAGGGGGCCCTGGGACACACAAACAAACAGACACAAGTAACAGGATTTCCCCCATATTTTCCCATAGTGTTTCTGGGTTTCTGTCTTCCCCTCCAATTCCCATATTTTCCCATATTTCCAGGGGAATCGACGATTGATTGTGTCTGTGTATGTTTTTTCCCCACCTGGGTCAGAGGCCGTCGCCGGCGGTCCACGGCGCTGAAATCACGGCAGGGCATGGCCCGAACGGGACCCCTCAGCTGCAGAGCGGCCCAGCGAGAGCTCGGAGAAGCCTGGACATGCGACATCAGATACTGGCCATCGCTCGGACGTCCATTCCCTGTGTTTTTTTCGGCTTCGTGCGTGGTTGCTTCGCCAAATGATCAAGGATGCTCCTCGATGGTCCTCGCCGAGGAAAAAAACGCACACGGCCGAGCGATGCCAAGGATAACGGGAATGAACTTGCAAGACGGTCGGGCGGATCTGACTGCAAAGAGAGACGGAGACGGGTGACGACTGCACATATCTTGCGGGCAACGTCGAAACGAAGCGAAGCAATTAAAAGAACACGTGTGGACCAGACAGGACGGTATGAACACACGGTCTCTTCCCGAAGCCAGAACGCATCCGTGGGCTCCGTTTCCAAGCAGGGCGATTGTGAAATCAAGCTTGCCACTCATCGCCCTCCTCTTCTGGGAGGGGTCGGGGTAGGAGGGCGAGGATGGTGCAAGCGTGACAGTTCTCTTCCAGCTGACGGAGCTGGGTTGCAAACTCATTTCTCGAGGAAGTCGTGCGGGCCATGCTTCTCTACTCGAGAGCTCGAGCGTGGGATGTGCCTGTTTTTGAAGAAGCGCAAGGTCAACTCACGTGTAAAATGGCTTCATTCCACCTCCTCCCCCCTGTCCACCTCTCCATCCTTCTGCAGCGTACGGATGACGAAGGCTTCGTTCACCACTGCTGCTGGGGATGCCCGGGGGTGGCCTGGCCGAGCCAAGGCGTCTACGGATCGCCCCGGACAGCTCGGGCAGGAGCCAGAGAGATTCGGAAGCTCGAGGTCCAGCCGCCCCAGGCTCGTGGATGGCGCGGCTGGAGAGAGGGAGCGAGGAGGAGCAGGAGGAGGAGGAAGAGGAGGAAGGGAATGTTGCGCATGCGACGACGGACCCCTTGTTTCCCACCAGCCCGGGGCGGTCTTCGGTGGTCTTCGGCGGTCGTCTGGCGGTCTTCGGCGGTCTCTGGCGGTCTTCTAACATTCTACCTCGGTTTCCGGCGGTCCTTGGCAGTGTCCAGCGGCTCGATAGTTGCGGCTCGCAAGGGGTCCATGATCGACCACATGAGATTGAGAATGCCAGCTCGAGACCTGGAGATTGACCAGGAGCAAGAACGAGGGAGGGAGGAGGGAGAGAGGCGAGGGCGAGGAGGGGGGGAGGGTGAAGAGGAAGAGACGCGAGGGCGGCGAGCGTGAGGAGGAGGAGGAGGAGGAGGAGGAGGAGGAGGAGGAGCAGCGGCAGATGGGAAAGCCGCTGACGCCTGTACGTGTCGACGTGCAGAGGCCCGCGCAGCTCCCCGGTGCCGAACATGATATCGATGTCCGCGCCTTTCCGACGCGCCAGCAAATGGAAAACGACGACGACCACTGAAGGGGCCCTGGGACACACAAACAAATACACACAAATAAAAAGATTCCCCATATTTTCCCATACTTTCTGGGTTTTTGTCTTCCCCCCCACTTCCCATATTTTCCCATATTTTCTGGGGAATCGACGATTAATTGTGTCTGTGTTTTTTCCCCTCCTGAACCACCGCCGCCGCCGCCGCCGCCGCCGCCGCCGTCGACGACGACGACGACGACGTCGACGACAACCGACGACGACGACGACGACGACGACAACCGACGACAACCGACGACGACGACGACGACGACGACGCCAGCAAGGAGGGCCGGCACGGAAGGCCCACTCCGAAGCCTCCGACCGCGCGGAGCAGGCGCTGGAGGCGCTGTCCCGCGGCTTTCTGCGCCCCGGAAGGATTGGCTTTGTTCCCGGCCATCCTGCGGTGTGGGGTCCTCGATTTGAAGAGGCAGTGCCCCGCGTCAGCATCCCTGCTCCTCCTTCCCCCCCAACCCTCCTTACGTCTGCTTTCCCTCCAACTCCTCCTCCTCCTCCTCCTCCTCCTCCTCCTCCTCCTCCTCCTCCTCCTCCTCCTCCTCCTCCTCCTCCTCGCAGCAGTCTACCAGTTGGGTGCACCCCTCACTCCTTCTTTCGTGACCCCAGAGGGAGCCGCCGAAGACCCCAGCGGCAGGGTCCACATGCGGCTCCTCGCCCACCGCATGTCTATTTCGGCACACCCCTCGAACGCGTCGTGGCCTCATATGGAGCTCCACCAAAGGCCCCAATGATGGGGTCACATGCGGCTCCCAAACCAATTCGGTACACCCCTCACACGTTCCGTGGCCCAATAGGGAGCTCCACCGACGACGATACTCACAACTGCGTTACTCACAACTGCATGTGTGTTGAATCCTTCGCTCGGAACACTGCTTTCGGCGAGCACCCAAGTTATCTGTGGGGGAGGGGTGAGATGCTGGCCGACAACGTAACCTTTTCGCTTTGGGCAGCTCCACGTATGCCCGCGCGCGCCAATACTGCGCATTCGACTCGGATCTGCGCAACCGACAGGGTCAGGAAGGACGTGGAGGGAGGGGGAGCAGACCCGATAACCTAGGTTCTCGGCGGGCCCTTGAGAAATGTTTGAAACATTGACTTCATCAGGCTCCCCGCGGCTCCCGCAAACGATAGTCCGCGGTGGAAAGCCGGCCCTGGGGAGGGGATCGACCCGCGCAGGAAGGGGTGACGCCGGGCGTTGTCTCTTCAAGACGAAGGCTCCACCGAAGGACCTAATGGCAAGGTATGCGTGCGGCTCCCCGCCCACCGCATGCCAATATCGGCATGCCTCTCGCTCGTGTCGTGGCCCCATAGGGAGCTCCACCGCAGGCCCCACTCGCAGGGTTCGCGTGCGGCTCCCCGCCCACCGCACGCTCATGTAGGCACACCCCTCACACGTTTCGTGGCCCCGCAAGGGGCCCCACCGAGGGCCCAAGCGGCAGGGTTCACATGTGGCTCCCCGCCCACCACACGTCTCCAACGTCCATAACTCGCACACGTATTCACATTAGGCGCCTCTGCGCTTCCTGGTGGTTGATGCGCATGACTGCCCGCGTAACTTGAGAGCGCCACTAGCCAATACCCTGGGCAAGGCGAAAAACTGCCCGGCAACATTCCCAGTGTATCTGTTAAGGACGCGACGACAATCCACATGAGCTCAGTAGACTGATGCCTTGCAGATTGGTGGCAGTTGTCCGCGCGATGTAGGGCCAAGCAATGGAACTCAGTGAAACCCAACAGCGTCGACAAAGGAGAGATGCAAGCATCGACAATACGAGCAGAACGTGCAACTGACACAATCTATTCGACGCCCCGCAATCGAATGCAGAATAACGCAATTCGTGACCGCCTCTGTTCCGCGTCACTCAGATTTGAAATCAACGATTGGTTATATATCTATATATAAATACATATCTATATATATATATATATATACATATATATATATATATATATTCGGTGCACACGGCCTAGTTGTCCCGCCTCGGCCTAATCTCTTCAGACGCCATGTTTTTCGGCGATGGCCGTAGCTCAGGCAACGGCGACGACAGCAACAGCCGCCGACTAAGCATGCCTGGATCCCTCGTCAGGTCAGTGCCAGTGAAGGCCTCCTGCGATGAGCGCACGGATAGAGAAACGGTCTATGAACGCTCCAGCAGCAAAAGAAGAGAGCCACACATTTAGAATCTGCTCCGTGCAGTGGAAACTCAATGCACCGCTCCCAGTTCAGATCGAGTGCCCACTGTGTCCAAAAACAGTGCTTGCACTACGAGGCTCTTGCTTCGAAGATGAGACCCGGCTTGGTGATCTTAGTGTTCGCCTGCTGGGCGCCTGTGGGCGCTCCGTGCTGGCTGGAAGGTGCGGGGTTCTCGGCTGGCAGGCGCCCGCGGGCGCACCACTGAGCTTGAATCACATTAACTTGCACCGCACTTGCTCATGCCCCTGAAAAGAGGTAGACTTTTACCTTCACCCCGAAGCTGGGGTTGAACGATCGCTCATCGCAAAGACCGAAGGATCTGATCCCTGCCGTGCTGGTATCGCCGCCACCCCCCAGCCTACATCTGAAGAAGGAATGCAATGCGGTGCGCTTGCACTGAGCTGACACGTGCGTGTTGTATCAATCCCCATCCTGCCAGCACAGTGGGGGGCCACATCCTGTAACACGTCCAACACATCTCAAAACTTTCAGCCATGTGCTCCCCATGAGAAAGCCCCTTCTCGGGCATCTGCGCGCACACCTCGCCGAGCGCATGCGACAAACAACGTGCGTTGGCCGTGCTGTCGAAGTAGGCCATGCGGGCCGCACGCGGGCGCTGGTCGAAGCCATCCAACAGCCATCGGGCATCCACAAACTGTTTCGCATAATACCATGGGGGCTACGCGCGCGCGTCCGCTTGCGCACGGCGAAATCATTTCCAGATGATTGTTTTGGTTGTTCTCGAACCTTTTCAGCACAGCGCTGTCCACATACAGGCGGCAGCCAAATGGGTTGTCAGTAACAGGTATGTCGAGCACTGAGATTTCTGCGCGCACACTTGCTCATTCTCCTTGTCAACACCGTCGATATCATACCGCCAGCTTCATCATTGCCAACGTCGTCGTCCCCACCATCGACGTCGCCGTCATCACCACAGTCGTCATCATCGGCATCGTCGACGTCGTCACCTTCGTCGTCAGTGGAACCAACATCACAATTATCATCGTCGTCGACGCTGGTGTCGCAGTCGCCGTAATTACCGGCCCACCCGAGTCATGGACATGCATGAGCAGGGTCCGCGCGTCACCTGCGCAACTGGAGATTGGCGAGCAAGTTCCGATAGATAACTACGCTCGCCGCCTGTATGTGTTTTGCCATAAAGTCGAGGGTGTGAGGGTGGGCTATTTCCAAGAGCAGTCGAGTTCATGATTTCATGTTATTCAGAACCAATTGCATCACATACATGGCTCTACCTGGCGCGCTAGATACATAGCTGGCATGAACTTGGCGAAACACGGACGCACGCGTATATTAACTGAACGGGTCATACCTTTGGGTGCATGGGCGCAGCCGATATGATACACGTGGTGAGAGGGCACCTCAGGACACAATTCCCTGGACGCTCCAACCCTTGACCGCGTCCCGCGGCCGAGGAGGCGTCCAAGACACCACGGTCTCAACATTGAGACCCTGCCAGGCACCTCCTCTTGACCGCGTCTTGCGGCCGCGGGAGTGCTCGGGACAACACGGCGTCAACCTTGAGCACTCCCCGGGCCACCCCCCTTATTGACCGGATCTCGCGGCCAGCCGGGCGGCCCAGGACACCACAGCTTCAACCTTGAGCGTCCTTGGGACACGACGGCTTCAATCTTGAGCGCCCCCCGGGGCGCCCTCCCTTGACCGCGTCTCGCGGTCGGGGGAAGCGCCTCGGGACACCACGGCTTCAACCTTGACCGCGTCTCTAGAGGCCTCACAGATGGAGTCAGAGTAGATGGGGTCGGAGGGTCGCGCCGCATCGGCAGTGCATCGCCGATATCTCGGCGATGCATCGACGATGCATCGGCGACTTCGGCGTGGAGAAAGTCGGGCTCCACAGCGAGCCGCATCGGCGATGCGTCGCGAACCACCGACCCTATCTTCTCTGACCTCCCATCTGGTAGGCCTGGAGTCTCTGGGCCAGGGGGGGCCTCGGGACACCACGGCTTCAACCTTGGACGCCCCCTGGGCACCCCGCCTTGACCACGTCTCGAGGCCGGGGGGGGCGCCTCGGAACACCACGGCTTCAGCCGCGGACGCCCCCCAGGCAGCCCCCCCTCGCGGCTGGGGGGGGCGCTCCAGGACACCCTAGGAGGCGGCGAGGCGTCGCGAGCGACAGGCCACGAAAATGGGCCGCCGCCCAAAACGACGCTCCTCGTTCCCCGCCCTCTCTGGACTAGAGCGGCTCTGAAGGCCCGCCAGGGCGCAGCAAACACGGCTTGATATATATATATATATATATATATATATATATATACACATCTAGATATGCATATATAAGTGAATATATAATATAGGTATGTCTATGTATGTATGTATGTATATATATATACACACCTTTATGCATGTACTATGCATGTACGTAGCACCCCGCAAATGTGGATAAGAGTGAGGGGGGTGCGTGGAGGTCGGCAGACTGCGAAGCTCTGAAGAAGCCCGCCGCAAGCGCCGATTTCTTCGTTAAAGCAATGTTGATGGGTCGCAGGTGGGGTCGCAGGTGATTCGCGGGTGGATCGCGGGTGGGTCGCGGGTGGGTCGCGGGTCGGGTCGCGGGTGGGTCGCGAGTGGGTCGCGGACGGGGCACGGGGTGGGTTGTGGGTGGGTCGTGGGTGGGTCGTGGGGTGGGTCGCGAGTGGGTCCCAGGTGAGTCGCGGGTGGGTCGCGGGTGGGTAGCGGGCCGGGTTGCGGGGGGCACGGCGACAACAAACAACAATGATTATGCTTATTGCGATGCCCACCGAAAACTGAAGAGTTTGTTCCTGACGGCGCGCGGTCGCCTAATTGGTCGACAACTGCCATTCTTAGGTTCAAAATCGGTTCAACCGTGTTCCATGTAGTCACGTTCTTTCACGTTCTGCTCTATTACGTCCTGTTCTGTTCTTGACGGGCCGGCGTGACGTCCTGACGCTTGTGACGCTCGATGCGTCGTCTGCTAGGAGGTTCCTCGTCACGTTATGCTTCTCTTATGGTTGACATTGTTGTGTTGTCATCATCTCGGCCACCACGTGATTTGACATATTATCGTATGGTTTGCTCTGTGTCACTCTGTTACGGGGTGAAATGTTATGCCCGATTATGTTGTAGTGTGATATGTAATGTTATGCAGCTCTGCACAATATAGCATAGCATGATCTGCTCTGCTAGCATGCTTCGTTATGAGTTGATGCCGTGTTATGATGTGTTCTGTGATGCTGTCATGCTATGGTCTGACCTGCTCTGTCATGGTGTGATATGATATGATCGGTTCTGTTATGTTAAGTTTTGATCTGGTTTGTTATGTTATGTCATGTTTTTCTCTGGTATGGTCTGTGATCGTATGTTTGTTGACGGTTCAGCTCCGAATAGACTAATATGACCTACTCTGTTAGTGCGTGTCACTATGCCCTGCTGTCGTGTTATGATATGTTCTGTGATGCTTTGGCATGATATGGTTTGTTATGTCAAGGTGCTCTGTGCTGCTCGGCTCTGTTATCTTAACCTGTGCTCTGCCGTCTTCAGCTCGGTCATGTTCTGATATGGTGAGTTCTGCATTGTTCTGTTATGACCATTGTGTCACAACGTTGCTAGTTTCTGTTTTGACGTGTTACGGCATGCTCGTGTCATGTTCTGTCCTGTTATGTTGTATCATCTTGTGTTCTCTCGTGTTCGTCGACGCTATGCTCTGCTGTCGTATTGCGATGTGCTCTGTGATGCTGTGTCCTGGCCTGATATGGTCTGTCAAGGTGTGCTATGTCATGTCTGGCTATGGTCTGTGATGTTGTGTTATGGCGTCTTCTGTTCTGTCGTGTCCTGATGTGGTATGTTCTGCGATGCTATGTTCTCCCCTCTTGTGCCATGGCACTGTCATGTTCTGTTCTGCCATGCTCTACCTTGCTCGTGTCCCGTTCTGACATGCTGTGGTGTGTCCTGTTGTGCTCTGCCGTTGTGGTCGTCGCTGTGCTCTGCTGTCGTGTTACGATGTGTTCCGTGATGCTGGGTCATGGTATGGCATGCTATGCCACGGTGCGGTATGGTATGCTCGCCTGTGTTATGCTATGTTGCGTCGTGGTGTCTTCTCTTATGGCATGCTCTGCTCTGGCATGTTATGTGATGTTCTGGTATGCTCTAATGAGTCATGGCATTGCTGGGTTGTGTTCTGCCATGGCCTGTCGTGCTCGTGCTCTGTTGTGCCATGTTTCGTGCTGTCGTGTTCGTCGTCGCTCTGAGCTGCTGTCGTGTTACGGTATGTTATGTGATGGTGTGCCATGATATGGTATGGTTTGTCCAGGTGTGTTATGTTATGCTGGGTTGTATGATGTTATGTTGTGTTATGCCGTCTTATGTTATGTCATGATCTGCCCTGGTATGCTATGTGATGTTATCTTATGTTCTACTTTCCCATGGTACTGATGTGATAGGTTATGTCATGTTATGTCATGCTCTGTTCCGTTATGTCATGCTCTGTTCTCTCATGCTGTGCTCTGTCCTGTTCGTCGAGGGCGCGAGGCGGGACACCCGGGATTCCCGAGGATCCTCGGGAAAACTTGGGGTCTGGCGGCCGCGGTATGCAGGGTGCGGTTGGCCGTGCGCGAAGCGGGGCACCCAGGATACTCTCCGCTCGTTAAAAATGGCAACGACAACATCTTCTCAGCAGCGTTCCTGGGGACATATACTCCATATTGAGGCCCCAGCTCGGTAAAATTAGACTCGGTAAAACTAGATCTCGGCTAAACTAGGTCGGCATCTGATATCTATTTTAAACGAGTGGAGGATACTCGGGATTCTCGGGACGTTTTGGGGTCTGGCGGCCGCGGTATGCAGGGCGGGGTGGGCCAGGCGCGAGGCGGGGCACCCCGGCTACCCGGGCTTCTCGGGACACCTTGGGGCCCGGCGGCCGCGGTCTGCAGGGCGGGGTTAGCCGGAGGGGCCCTGTCTTGAGATCGAACAGCCCTAAGCTGTCGGATGGAGAACAAACAACAACCAACAGCCAACGAGCAACAACAATCCGCACCTCAGAGCCTCATTTCGGTCACGCGCCCAGGGAGAGGGAATGAATGACCGTCCGGCCCCCCACTTTGACATGTTGATGCAGGACTGTATGCGTATGCGTCTATGGCCTTCGACCCATCCTGGCACCGTGCCTGAAGACACGTTGGGGTATCCAATGGAACAAGTTCACTAGTAACCACGCTGAAATCATGAAGAGCGGAGTCGGGGATCTTCTGACCGGGGTCAATCCAGACCCGGGTCAGCCAGGCCTTGCACAATCCTGCAAAATCCTGCAGGATCCTGCACCCAAGCCCGGGTCAATGCGAAGGATCCTGCAAGATCCTGCAGGATCCTGCGCCCAAACCTGGGTCAATGGGAGCCTGGCCCTGCAGGATCCTGCAAGATCTGGCGCTCTGGCTGACCCCCGTTTGCATTGACCCCCCGTCTCCCGGGTCGGGCGAAAGGGGGGGATAGCAAAGGGGGGGCTTGAGAATCAGCTCACGTATAGCTGAGGCGCCCGAGGCGACTCTGTATCGGGGAATGGGCCGCTCGGTGAGGCCGAAACCAGCTGCATGCAGCAAATTTCGTAACCCCCCCTTTCCCACTACCAGGAGAGCCCAGAATCGAATCGACAAATCGGATCGGCAATCGACATGAATCGGATCGGCGGGAATCGGCAGCCGAATCGGGAAAAGTCGAATCGGCGGAAATCGGCAGGCTAATATGCCTCCAATAAGAAATCGGAATCCAAATCGGAAGCCCAAATCGAATCGAATCGGAATAGGAATCCATCGAAGTCGAATGGAATCGAATCGGAGGAATCGAAACGAGCCCTGCACTACCCCCCTCTCGTCCGGCCCGAGTCTCCAGGCTCCCGACGGAGGGCTTGCACGGTGCACCTCCGGCAGCTGGCGGCAGGCCCCTGGCGCCCCATCTCCGGCCGTCGAGAAGGCACGTGCTGCCCTCTTCGGTGCCCACCCCGCCCCGGCCACGGGGGGCCCCGCCCCGCCCCCCACGGCTGGGGAGAGACGGGTGGGCGGGCCGCCTTGCCCCCCTTGGGCGTCGCACTCGCGACGCCCAAGGGGGTTGAAGGGGCCCCGGGACACACAAAGAAATACACACAAATAAAACGATCCCCCTATATTTTCCCATATTTCCTGGGTTTCTGTCTTCCACCCCACTTCCCATATTTTTCCATATTTTCCTCCCCTTGGCTCGGCGGTGGACAAGCCTCCCTTTAGTAAACCTCCCCTTGGTGAAAACCGCCTGGGACCGAAATCGACGGACCTGGACCCGCAAACATGACGGCCGCGACGCCCTCTCGCGAACCGAAAACGGCCAATTCCTCAATCGACGTGTCAGGGTAGGAGGTCTGTCCAGCCCCGATTGGCGTCGCACTCGCGACGCCAGGGGGTGACGGGACCTTCCTTGCCGTCGCTCGGACGTCCATCTCGCGTACATTGTTCGGTTTCGTGCGTGTGTTTTTTTGTGCTCGATGGTCCAGGGCAACTGGATTCTCATCTGAATATTAAAGGGAATGCTTCCAGATATGCTCCTACACATCATCGCTGTTAGGTTGCTTTGCCAGGATAATTTGTTTTGTTGCTCGATGGTCCAGGATGGTCCTCGTGGTTGCTCGCCGAGAAAAAGTGCACACGTCCGAGCGATGCCAAGCTTTTGCACGGAGCGGCGGCACGTCCCTCCCCCCCCCCCGCCCCCGAGGGGTGACCCACCCCGAAAGGAGCCCCCCATGGGAGAGGAGCGGGGCGCGGGGCCCTGCCCCTCCGGGGTGTGGGGGGGTCGGAGGGCTGGCCATCGCTCGCCTGTCCACTCCCTGTGTTTTTTGTTTCGGCTTCGCGCGTGTTTTTTTCGCCAGATGGTCGAGGATGGTTCTCGTGGTTTCTCGCCGAGCAAAAGTGCACACGTCCGAGCGATGCCAAGCTTTTGCACGGAGCGGTGGCACGTCCCTCCCCCCCCGCGCCGCCCCCGGGGGGGGACCCGCCCCGAAAGGAGCCCCCGGGGGGAGAGGAGCGGAGCGCGAGGCCCTGCCCCTCCGGGGTGGGGTCGGCCGGAGGGCTGGCCCTCGCTCGGACGTCCACTCCCTGTGCTTTCTTTTCGGCTTCGCGCGTGCTTTTTTTTTGTCGCCAGATGGTCGAGGATGCTCCTCGAAGGTCCTCGCCGAAGGAAATCATGCACCCGCCCGAGCGATGCCAAGAGGGTGGGGAGCACAGTCGACGCCCGCACGACGAGACTCTTCTGCCGTCGGCGGCGAGGCAGAGGCAGTCCGCACCAGCGCGGGGCGCACAAGGGGGTAGGGGGAGGGAGGAAGGCTTCTTAGAAGGAGGCTGCCTCTTAGAAGGCGCCGGCCTTACATCTACAAAGAAGGCCCGCGCCTTCTAAGAAGCAGGGGTGCTTCTACGAAGCCTTCCCCCCTCCCCCTACCTCCTTCTGCGCGTGGCCAGACCAGCGTGGGGCGAATCGGGGCGACCGAAAGGCAAAAATTGTCCAGCGTGTCACGAGGGCGAGTCGACGAAGAGTGCGGCCGCGCGGGGGGAGGAGAAGGAGGGCGCCCAGACGCGAAAGCCGCACGGTGAAACGCCGGGGTCGTGACAAAACGCGCCACGAAGGGGTTGGGGTGCTTCCCCGGGGGCCGCTTGGGTGCCTTCCTCCTCTGGATTTATGTAGTTTCCATCCTACTTCAGGACCACATCCCAGAAATAATTTCGAGCACCCGGAGAAGTGTCGAAAGAGTGTCGAAGGAGTGCCGAGACGGTGTCGGGCGAGCGTCTCCCAGGGCCCGACGCGTGAAAACCCTTGAGTTTCGGTACTTTTTTGGCGCTCGAAATTCTTTCTGGTGGTCGAAGCTCGGGCGTGTCCCCCTACAGGGGGATGTTCGACGAAAAAAAGAGGATACCCCCAAAATGCATCAAAAAGGTCAGAAAATACTCAAAACATACTGCCCATACTATTTCTGGACTATGTTTTGATCACTTTTGGGGTATTTGGTATTTTTTCTGAGAAAAAACTAAAGGCGACGAGGTGGAGCAGGAGGCGGCGGCGGAGGAGCGGGTGCAGCAACGGCTTCCACGGACGGCCGCCTGGACGCACAAGGGCCTCGGCTGGCACTCTCGACGGGCACGGCGGCTTTTCCGCGCCGTGTGTCTGCTGGGCTGGTCTTTGGCCGTCCGTCTCCTGGCCCCAGTGCGCCTTCGCTTTCGCACGCCTCTCCTGGGCCACCTTGGGGGCCACGTGGGCTGCCGTGGCAGCCCTCTCAAACCGGTTCGGGGGCCATCTTGGGCTTTCTTGGGACCCTCTTCGCGGCGTCTTGAGTGATCTGCGAAGCCTCTTTGGCCGCCTTGAAAGGTCGGAACCAGAAACAAAGAGCGAGAACTCCAAAAACCTGTAGACGCAATGAGCAATTCACGATCTGGGCATCTCGGGGCTCTCTTGGGCCTCGGGGGTGCTCTTGGAATCCTCCTCGTCTTGGAAACCTTCTGGGCAGTCTCGATGCCAACTCGGGCGTCTTGGAGCAACCGCTCGGCGGGTCGGGGGGCCCTCTTGGGCCGTCATCGGGGCTTCTGAGGGCCCCCATTGGTCCTTCCAGGGGCTGGGGTGGTGTCAAGGGGCCGTCCTGCACCCTACGGTCGGACTTGGTTGGAGAGGACACGCGAGAGGACACAAGACCCTTCCCAGGGCCACGCTGCCACAGAAGTGCAGGAGGCATGGGTCGCGAGACACAGGACACGAGGGTACCCTTGATCTGGCAGGGTCGACCTACTACTCGGGGCCGCCTGGACTTGGGGGGGTCTCTGGGGCGGAAGGCCAGTGGAAGGCTGTGGGAGCAAAGGGCGCCCCTTCCGAGCACCCCTCCCCGCCTTGAAGCCTGGCACGACGGCCTTCTCGCGTGGGCTGTGCGGGATCCTGCCGGACTTCGTCCGCTCTGACAATCTAAGCTTAGCTCCAGGTGCAAACCCAAATCCCGTCTCCCTCCGAGATCGCGCCGACTTGCATCGGCCCGAAATAAGACAGGGCCGAGAAGTTGCAGACCCCCTGCCGTGTTGGGGCCGTCTTGAGGTCATCTTGAGATGATGTTCGCATCCATCCCGAATGGTTAGTGGATCACGAGAACGTCGTCGGGGCATTCTGGAGCCATCTCGTGCGTGCCTCGAGCTCGTCCATCGTGCCATTTCAGGGTCACTCGTTTCTCGCATGCTGGGCCGTCTTCGATTGGAGGTCGTCGGAAACATCTGGTCTGAAACATTATTGGAACAATTCTGTGGTCCTGGGATGATCATGGGATCGTCTCGGGATGAGGGCGGAGCACGCGAACACAACATGTAATCTTTCTGTTCGCGCATTTCCTCTTGCGAGTTTCCAGAAAACTGTTGCTGGAGCCAGGTAGGACACTTCAGGCCACCGGGAGGGGTCTAAGAGGGCTCCAAGACAGGGCACTTGATGGGGCTCCTGGAACCCTGGCCCCCCAAGCCCCCGAGACCGCCAGAAAGCCCCCACGACGCCTCAAGGGCCTCACGAGGCCCTGAAGAGCCCCAAGGAGGCCTTCAAGGCTCCTCCAATCCAAGAGGTACCCCAAGAGACCGCAGGAGGCATCTAAGATGCCTGTGGTCCAAGGCACAGGCAGGCAGGATGGCGGGATGGAACCTCGCCAAGCTTAGGCGAAAAGTGCAGGGCGCGCACACCTGCGGGTCGGGCGCCCCCACCAGCAAAAAGCAATACGAGTGCGGAGGGGGGCGGCGATCTCTAAATCAGATTAAATCAAGGCAGATGTGGCGCCTTCCTGCTTAGGCAACCAACCAGCTTGAGGAGGAGGCGGCAAAACAGAGCGAAACAGCAACACCAGAGCGACACTCGGTTACGTCCTGCGTTGTAGACTTTTTCGGGTCGTAGAACTTGTTCTCGTTTTCCGCCGGGCACGGGTAGGTGTGGCAGAGGACGGAGGCCACCCACAGGTTCGTACTACCAGTGTCGAACACCACTCTCGCCTGGCAGGCATGGGTGCAGCAGAGGTACCCACAATGAGCAGGATCGCGACGATCAAATTATTAGGAATCAGACTGCACGCAGCAGGCGGTGGACTGGGTGAAGGCAAGCGCTGACCCATTTGGCTGAAGAGTGGACGGGCCCAGTGGCCAGATGGAGGCCAGGCAGGGAGGGAGTGGGTCACATCGGGGGGGGGGGGGCGGCGAGATGCACGAATGAGATGGAACTACGTGCCCATGAAAGGTCTCGACTATGGCTGAGGGATGGAGGGGGGTGGGCTGAACTTGCCAAGGACGAACACATGGTAAGGAACCGAACTCTATACACCGATGCCTTTTTCCGGTCCCGCACTGAGATTCGCACAAGAAAGCGGATTCTGGTGTATACGGCATCCTGGTGTATACATGTTTTGTGGCTTCCACGGGAAAGCGGGGAAAAAAACACACACACACACACACACACACCACACCACCCCGACGTCGTCCCCGACCCTCGAAAAATCCTGGGATGCAAAAACAGCCCGCCGCTGGTAGTGTATACGTTCCAGCCTCCGACATGGAGTCCTGGCAGACAGTAGCGTAACGCCTCCAGAGTATGCTCTCTGCCCAGGCCGCGCCCGAAAGGCCACCGAGCGCAGCGCCGGGTCCGAGGGCATGGCTCCCGACAGCCACCGTGACGGATGCGGCAGAGATACCAGCTGGACAAACTGAAGGGGCCCTGGGACACACAAACAATACACACAAATAACGGGATTCCCAATATTGTCCCATACTTTCTGGGTTTTTGTCTTCCCCCCACTTCCAATATTTTCCCATATTTGTTTTGGGAAATCGACGATTCATTGTGTCTGTGTGTGTTTTTTTCTCCCCACAAACGTGTGGCTTGCACGGATGCCGATCCAAGTCGCATGGTTTTTAACGGATCGTTTGTTGGAGGGGGGGGGCTTCTTCCCCGCTCGCGGACGGCAAAGTCAGGGCGCACACGCGCAGGGTCCCAGCAGTCTGTGAGCGAAGATTGGCCCTGCGGTCATGGTCGTCGTGCCTGGCCTTCGGATCTTGGTCATTACTGGCATACCTCTCGATCGGTGATCCTGGCATGTGTAGACGACTGGCAGCCTGAATGCTCGGTGGCCTGTCGCTTCACCGGCACTGTCTACCTGATGCGCGCCATAAAAAAAACGACTCGGGGGGACGTGAATTAAACGCTCGCTAAACATGCAACGAGTCTACGCTGGCTGCCGCTTGCCTATGAAAACGCATCCCCCATACAACGGGACTGGCGGGTGCTCCTTCAGCACAGAAGCGGCCTCGAACTTGGTAGAGGTGTTGCTTTCGGCCCGCGAAGCCGCGGGTTCCGAAGCCATAACAGGAGCAGACCCCGCATCGCTGCACTTCCCCACGGCGAGGGCGAAAGCGAGGTTCACTAGAAGACCAAAAAGCCCAACGAATGCCATGCAGAAGTAGAAGTACTGATAGCCTCTCGCGCCAGGGTAGGTGTCCA